TGAAAAACTGTCTGGCCGCGGAAACTCGAAAAGCTTGGAGAAGTTGCTGTACACTACATGACACTAGGGGGCGCTAATCAAAATACAGAAATACATTTGACGTATACTGACACCCCTGAATCTTACATCAAATCTATGTAGTTAAATATTTTGATTTTTTCTCCCTTTGTAATTACTGTTGAAAACATTTGGATGTTCGAAAATATCCGCTTTTCAACCACCACGAAAAAGCATGTTCCAGTGGTATGTTCCAGTATCCCATTCCCCAGAACATACGCCGCTACGAAAAAGGGTCGTCACTTTACCGAGCCTTTAAAGAGTTGAGACATACATCTCAAAATCGATCTTCTTTTTCCAAATAACGCCCTTTAACACCGTAGCAGGAAATGTCTGTTCGAACGTATTCAACCTAAGGGTATCAACAAAGGCGATGGTACGTGAAACTCCACGTATTTCATATTTAGTACCTTTGTGTTCTATTGACTTTAGGTAAAGACAGTAAGGTGTGTAAAATGTGTTTAGATTGAAGTTGGAACATTACGCTAGCAAATTTGTACCATTTAGGTTTCTTTCGCAAAATTATGTGAAACTTGCGGCCAGAGCAACTCTTAGATAAACATTTGAGTTCCAGCAAAAAAGTGCGTTTAAAAGAGCACTTGACACAATTATTACATTAGAATCTCCCACCAATGTCGTGTTCGCTTTGTATTTCTTTCGCAAAATAGTAATTTACTGCTAAAGATGACGATAAACCTGTGAATGGCAAGCCATTTCCTGGATTTTGTTGAGGAGGTGTCATCGCGTGGAACTTCCAATTACGGAATGAGGGCTAGGCAGGGGTTTTTTTGTTTTGTTTTGTTTTGTTTTTTGTTTTTGGCCTTATCATAAATGCCAACATCAAAATGGAACCTTTCAGGAGGAGTAGATAATCATGCACACTTTAGATATTACCACACCTTGTACAGACTTTTAATTTTTATGCAGACTCCTTTGACTATTGACATGAAAGCCGCTACCTCCAACCTTGAGCAATTTGACTACCCCCCCCCCTTTACAAGTGAAAGACAGTGCGTACTTGTGTTTTGACTTGCTTGAACTTTTGGACAAACAAAATGGAGAAAAAACGATCACGAAACGGCAAAGCAACGTTTCGATATGAGGTACAGGCATTTGCAAGCTCACAAGTATTTATGAGCAGCACCCTCTTATGTCAGTTGTGTCCCCCCTCCTTCGTATTTCAACGGCCGGTCCATTTTAGGATTTGGTCATCCCCATTCCCCACTCGCCAGCCCAGATTACGCCACTGCCTCGGATGGTCAGATGGTCCAATCATGAATACATTGTCCTAATCATGACAAGTTCCTGGTTGATTTGGATTTCTTTTTCAAACCTTACATTCTGGTGCTCTTCCATAAGTCTCTGTAAACCTCTTGAAACGCACGTAGTAGGTTTGTTCTTTCAAGAAAGTACATTCATAAAGTAAACGGTTGCAATCAAAGAAAATAACAATTTCATTTTAACTTGTTGGGATAGCTATGTTCTAGTAAAAATACATACTGTTTTTTAATGAAAAAAGATTATAAGAAATGAGATATCTACGTCGATTACCATTTTGGACTAATGAAATGCTGAGGCCTAATTGAGGCAATATTGGGTAAACAGTCGTCCAAGTATTCTAGACGAAAAAGAAGGTTTCGCTGGGGTAAACGAATTGTCAGTCTAGGCATATGCCATCATAATCCTGTCAAGGTTGGTAAGCAGACCTGAGCACAACCTCCCATGAGATGATACCGTTCTCTTGGTGCTCATTAGCGTCTAATAGGACTATCTAGTTTTCTGTCCTTGGCTTTGTTTTTGCTGTGGCTTCTTAATTGAATGATATGGCTACTTTGACTTCATTAGCAAATGAAACTTAACATGATTCCCCTTCAGTTGGTAGATCAGACATCGCTGTAGCCTTCTAAAAAAAAGTCACAGTGGTTTATTCTTGGGGTTGTCGGATCTACTTGTTTTGGTGTAGGGGTTCCTTTTGAAGATGGGGTTTTGCACTGACCTCGGAGTTTGGTTTGCAGGTTGGGATTAGAGCTTTGGCTGCAATGTACAAATGATTCCATGGTATAACCGGTTGGGCAAGTTCATGCTAAGGTTTTTTTTTTGGGGGGGGGTCGAACGGATCTCAATATCAGGTTAGCGAAATGGTAAGATTTGGAGTTCAGATGATATTTTGGTATAGCATTTCTCGTATATCAGTTGGGTTTGAGTCGGACTATCGGCGTGTGTTACAGATATTTTGGGGTGAATGATTGGGTAAGGGTTAAAACTGGGATAAAGGATATAAAGACATCGTTACATTTTGCTCTTCCCTAGGGAGGAAACATTTTGGCCCTCTTCACAGATTTGGTTCTGGATTCGCCCTTGAGGTGAGAACTCACAGTTACGTTAAACATGTATTTAAAGTTTAGTTTACTTGAGACGCTACTAGCGTGTCAGTGGTTTGATGGGGGTTAGGTTCGGTTGGAGTTGAAGGTGAAGGGGTTAGGCTGAATTTCTAGCGGGAGTTTGCCTCCTGTCAGAAACTGTACCTGGGATTTTTGTATGTCTGAGGTTCCTTTTGCTCTCTTTACTCCGTTTTTAGTATCACGTTCCTCACAGATTGGTCCAGGCTGCAGTGGTTGTGATATCCTGTCTTTTTTGACTGGGGAATATTTTGAAAGACATACAGAGTTATATACTATAACAGCCGGTGCGTTGGTAATATTTTCATATTGACATTCCTTGTGACGGGGGTAAATTTGTGACTGTGATCCCCCCAAACGCTAAAGATGGAAAGCTTGGATAGTATTAATTGCCACTGAGCAGGCGCGTGTTTCATCGAAAGCGAGCAAGAGAACTCATTGTAATGTGGCAGCCATTATGAGACCAATATGGAGAGGATACGGTCCCTTTGGGGTTATTGTCATTACTCACCGTGTGTTCCATCAATATCGTCTGTCACTTTCCATAGAAACGAGATTAATCATCCTTTGGCATTCAGGAAGAATGGAAAGCGGGTATACACCACCCGTCAAAATGGTTAGCCAATACCCCGAGGCATGTGGGAGCGATCGCCGCCGCTCCCATTTCGCGCAGGAGAAAAGGATCAGTGTTCTGGTTGCGCATATTACTCCGTAATAGGGTACTGGCGTATAAGAAGAGACTGAATGATGCATCGTCCCAGCTCCAGATTAATATCGCAGCTTCACCAGAATTATGATCTTGATTAATTCCCTTGTCTGTGGGTCCCTGTATTAAGAATCCAGCGCTCACAGTCATGTCCCTACTCTATCACGGGTCCTTTGGTCGCTCTCGCCGGCCCATTGATACCCACTCACCTTTTTGAAGGAAACCCCGCGAAAGCCAATCGAGAGGTCTGTAGACAGCGCCCGAGAGGGGCCAGTTCAGCAAAGGGCGAGCCTCCAATCTGACACTGTCCTATTTACTCAGACCAGGTGGCGAGCATGAAGTGTCGCAGATGCAGAGTGTACTGATAAAAAAAGTAACGACACTCGTCACCACTCATGTGAATTCTCTGTGTCAGTGACTGTCGCATTCCAACATGTTCATACTGAGCGATGTGGAGATTCTTCATTGAAATATGCCAGGATAAGCTAAAGTTTATCAGATACAGTGTCCAATACAGGCAAAAGTTATAACATAAAGTGGATAAAGCGACAGCCTTCGAAACGAATGAAATGCGGGACACCACATTAAACAAAATCGTCCGAAAAAACTGTATAAAATAAATTGTTTCGCTATAACATTTAACTGTGCGCACCGTTATCATTAAAACAAAGGACATAATTTCTGCTGTGTCCTCCAGGATTAGAAATTATCTCGATCTTTGGGGGGGGGTCACACTGACAGCGGTAGACCATGCGTTTGCTTTCATTCCTCAAGGGAAGTTAATTAAGCTCCTTAAGACAGATTGGTAGGAAAACGCAAATACAGTGATAACTGGTACCACTTATGCTCCCCGTAAGGATAAGGTTGCTCTGATGATCAAGCGATCAAAGTCTGTGCAATTTGCAGCGGGAAATGCGTGAAGCAAAGCTCTCGCTGGGCAGCTTTCAGGAAACTGGCCAGCCCCTGCTTTTAAAGAAGACTGGCTTCATGTCTCGTCGTCATTCCCTTCCCAGCAAGTTCACGCGAAATTTCTAAGGGAAAAACCAGGTTGTCACTAGTACTGGAACCCTCTTTAGAGTTGGATGCACAAAGGACAAAAAATGATTTTTTTTTTTTTAGTAAAAGGCATTACTTTGCTTCAGTCCTCTCAAATCTAAGGCAGCCAAACATTTTTTATTATTTTATTTCTTTATGTTTTGCACGTCAAAGTTGTGGTGTAGTGTTGAAGGCATTGGCATGATGGGGAGTGTGTTTTAGCGTGATGGATAGCGATGAGCGCAACATGATGGGTTTTGTTTATCGTCACGGTACGTAGCATGGTTCAGTAGAAGTAGGCTTGCCGTGACTGCGAATGAAGTTTAAACCAATTAGCCCTTATCACGTACTTTTTTGAAAATGAATGCGAGAGAGTAAAGCAATATCGTTAACCAGTATTTTTAGAAACTTTTAAAACAGTTTTTATGAATATCTTAAATTCACCCTAAATTATCTATACGCTCTAAAAGGTGAGAGCAAGCGTTGGGTTATACAAATTAGCCTCTGCGTGTGCCGTTTCACAACTGGACATCGCTGTGAAAAATGGAACATTATAGATCAAGACTTCTTGGTTTCGCATTCCATTCAAAATTCCTATGATATTAGATGCAATATAATGTGGTATGTAGCATAAACTATGTCAAGATGATGCATGCTCTCTTTTGGCAATCCTGTGCGTGGAGAAAATCATTCACTTATAGCCTCCGGCTGCGAATACAATACCGCGTGGCGCACTTCACAGAAGCCACGGTTAAGTGGCGTGTGTCACAACGGCGACGCACACAAAGACATGAAGCAGGGAAGTGAATTCACCGTCGTCACTGGACAAACGTCTCGCCCACCGTTTGCACAACGAGAGGAGAACGATCCATCTTCCCGCAATGGTCATATCCACACGATGCCAACCTTTTTAAGTTCCCTCGTGGAATAATATTTGCTCTCCTGCATGGGTGGACGCTGCGCGCTCAATGCTCCACCACGGGATAAGAAGACGGCTGGGATTCAACAGTTTGGCTGCGTTTTCCATCAGTTTCGGCCCAGAAGCTAGTTTAATAGGGATCATCGTTGTGTGACAACCCCGAAGGTGATGTTTCGTGAGAGCTGAAAAAAGACCAAAAAACTCTTGCTGTCATAACTGCACATTTGTTTGGGGGTTTTTGTAACCGAAAAGTCCGAATATTGATGTTTGTACAGTGTTCCTGATTTGGTTTTTCAACAGGAGATTTCACTAGAGCAGCAGGGACTTCTTGTTTAAACCTTCATTCTCGAGGAGTTGCTGGCTTTAATTTCATCTGAGTGTCATCTTCGTAAATACTTTTAATTTGCAGAGCCTCATACTTCACTAAGTTAACGCGCCAGCGTGTGAAAAACGGCAGCTTTTTAAACTATTACGCGGACAGGGAGAACTCGTGCTCAACAGGATGGAAGTGAAAAGTAAAAGCATGGATAACGACCAGGGGCACAATAAGAACAAGACGGAGGAGAGGTATTCTGTCGGTCGTATCTTCACCATGGTGCAGGGGGTGTTCGTCCGGGTCCTCTTCTCTGTTTCCTCCGTCATCTCCGTGTGGCGGGTAGCCACGGTCAAGGAGGACCCCACCTGGTGGCTGCTAGTGGTCATGAACGCCCTTCTGTACGTCGAGGCCTATGTGACCTTCCGGTACCGGAAATCTGGCGAGTGGAAATGGTAAGCATCTTTGTTTAAACTGTGGAAATCAATGATATCAGGCAAATGCATGAGTTTTCTCATTAAAGGGTGCTGGGAATAGGTGCGTTTTACATTATCAATGGCAGTGAACGTAAATAAACAAAATACCGTGCCCATTACAAACGTGCTTGCATGAAAACTCCTTCCCTCTGTAATAACTCTTTTCGGGATATGTGTTTAGCGGTACGCTGTTTTGGGTTTGAAGAGTGGGAATCACAAGTTAAAAATCACAAGTAGGTTAAACCTCTGACGGAAGTGGATCCCAGAATTTTCGAAAAGGAATAAATCGTAGGGGGGGGGGACTGGCATATCACATTAGTTGGGGAGCCGCTAAAATGGGCATGTTGCGCACACGTGAGGGTGATAGGTCCATTCGGGCCTATCAGACATTGTATGAACGAATGTAGGAATCAAAATCATTTGGACATCTTGTGACTCGTGGGGACTTGCTGGCGACTAGTGATGCCTCTCAGTGCTTTTAATTAATACAACTTAGGTCTTTATTGGGCTCGGTCTCAGTTTGCCGTGAGATCTCACCTAAATGAATGTTTGTTGACTAAAGTACTATGGGTATATATATGGATTGTGAGTGCAAGCCCCTTCTTTTATCAACTTACCAACATTTTTATTGAATAATGGGCCCTATCCAAAGAAGAAAGTTTTAAAATGGAATTGTATTTTGTGTCTAGGGGCATTGCGTTAGTTAGTGTCTTATATTTTGGTGTTTAGGTAAATATGGTTTTATTCGGACTGTGTAATTATCTATCTTTGATGGTATTTTTCTTTTTATATTTTAATTTAGTGGTCTAACTGTGACTTCTTACTTTGGTTTTTCATCTGTGTTTTTATTGACTGGGGCAACAATTTTCATTTGACTTTTTAATAAATGAATGAATGACAGATCAACAAATTTAAAGATAGTATATAATAATATAATTTTAATAATATTATAATGTAATATTTAATATTAATATTTAAAAATATATGAATAAAGAAAGGTTGCGTATATTTATATGTACGATTCCAAAAGTCAAAAAAAAAACCAAACTTACATTTTGCGAAGGAGTATATACACTGTTGTCCATAATAAGTTTCAAACCAAGTCACCAGGTCTTCAAATGATCCTTGGCAAAACATTTTTTTTTTATCATCCGTCATCTTGGTACTTATGCATATTTATATTGTGAAAGGGCGTGCTGGTGGACTTGGAACGTGACTTGCGAAGGACTCGACTGTAAAACTTAAGTATTGTCTCCGTAGAAAGAAGGGTTTTAAAAGTGACAATACTTCTGTACACCTAACGTTGATATGTCATGAAACCAAAGACTTCATTAATTTTGCATTGGTATTAATGAGAAGGAACACTCCTTCAAGTCTGAAGTGAATACATGCATTCCACGCACAAAAAACCTGAGGTAATCGCTGCATTTTCTCATTATCCCTACTGTTATTACTGGTATGCATTTCAGAACACTGTTCGGATGTTTGTTACATGTACCTTGCGCAATGCAGTAATGACTTAAGCAGATTTTCAATCAGGCCATCCAAAGCCCCGGCTAGTCCCACTTGTGGTTAGATTAATTTTTTTCCGTTTCAAGAGAGAGCCACATACGCATAAACATCTTATCACGTACGCTTTGTCCTCTGCTGAAGTGCGAACGATTTTTCTTTTACTTTGAAATAGAAGTTAAGCAATTTGATAGTGATGAATAACGCTGGTAATTTGTGGATGTCGTTTTGTTCCTGCGAGCGAGAAACAGCGGAACTGGTCGAAATGCCAGTGCGCCCAACTATTCGACGGACGAAGTTCAATTAAAGGATTTATACAATGAATTTTTCTCTTAGTCACTTCCTGAGCGTTTTTATTCTGTTCTTCAGTGTATGAAAACTGCTTGGAAATACTTTTGGAATTAAGTGTATTGGCCAGTGAAATTTTGGTCCAAACTTTTCTGGCAAGTTGGGCACAGTTGCTGTGATATAAATTAGGGAAGACACTCTTCAGTTTACGTGTTTTCATGTTAAGAATTTGAGCCTCAGATTTTTCGCGGGGTAACTTCCACTATTCACTATAACTATAGCCAATATCAAAAAGTTTCAAATTTGCAATGTAAAAACACAAGTCCGTCTTATATAAAACATCAAAACATGTACATGTAATATTTTTAAAAAGGAATTTCAAACGACAGTTTTTTTGGTTTTTATCTTTTTTTTTACTTGACTGTTGTCAAGCAAATGACAATTAAAATTAAGGTTAGCGACAAAAATTCTACTTTAATTGCTTCTCCAAATTACTTGCAAGAAATAACTAGCTGGCTTTATGATGGGTACGAAAAAATCATCATATAACCATATTTTGTAAAGTCGTCTTAAAAATAGCGTTACTTCACAGACGCAAAGCTCATAGGACCCAAGACAAAGAGTACCCGCTTCCTGTTTTCCGGGATTGGACTTGCTTCAACCTGCCGTCATCGAGGAGTGCGTGCATAGTTCATCAATAGCCAATCTTCCGCCAAAAAAGCGCCCGTAAGGAGCAATGACGAAACGCAGTGAATGGTTCGGTGGAGCGCATCATATTAGTTTATTTGCGCGCGGTCGACGATAGCCAGGAAAAGCTGAAACATCGCCCGGTCCTGGACACACGTGGAATCGCTCAGATGGCAGCATACCTTGCGGTAGATGGCTTTGCAGTCGGGCTTCACATTCTCGATACGCAGAGCTTGGGTTTTGTCGGGGAGCAGTCTTGCGATTTTGCGGGAAATGCAAACACAGCCGGTTGCAACGATTTGAAGAGGGGACCCAGGAAACTCGTCTAGGATGATTGCAGCTGGGATTGTGTTATCTTCCCCCAGTAAAGGAAAGAAAACAGAAAACATTACTTTAGACTATCGTTGGTTGAGTAATATACTGTGTATTGCTTCCTTTTTGACTGGAGGCGATTGGTGATATGAACCTTGTGCACAGTCCAGAAATGAATAGAGCGAAATCTGCACCTATCATAACATTATAATATGCGCCCAAAGTAAAGTAGTCATAGGGCAAAAACTAATGCTAATGACATGTCTAACGTTCCCTGCCTCAACATCAGAGGATATGTCCACCTCCTCGCGCTTTCTGAGTTCGCAGCATCCGGCCCATTTCTGGATTAACGTATACTGTATCAAACCATAGAGCTATGTAGCTCTATGATCAAACACACGACACCACAGTACTTCGTCGTCTGATAAAGCAGAATGTATATACAGTACAGGACTGGTAATACCGGGTGTTGACAGCAGTGCTGCACATGACCATTTCACGCCACTAGCGGACCGTTAGGATGAAAACAAGCGAGCTTTTACATGCACAAAGCACAAGGTGCAACCTGTCCCCTGGGACCCACGGTCACTCTAAACAAAATTTCACTAATATAAATAAATGTTAAGAAATGCTGTATGGAGGTGAGATATTGACAATCATCCAAACAAGCGTCCGACATTTACAGTGCTATTTTTCTTGTTTTTCTTTTCTTTCCTGACAGTGCATTTTTGTTCCAAACTGCCTCTTGACAAGTTAAAGATTCGTCAAAACTTTCTGCCCTTGCTTAAGACCTCGACTACTCCAGACCAGTCGCAATATAGGCCCCCCTAGTATTCGACAAAAATATCAGACCGCAAAAATATCGTCAAGATAAACTGCACATAATCGTTTGCCCCTTCAAGCAGTGACGTCTACTATGATCCAAACAATCTAATAAATGACATTCGTGTGGGAGGGAGTTCGGCATCTTTTTAATCTTGTAAATTGGTAAAACCTCGCTTGCAAAATCGATTTCTGCTCTCTTGACTATAAAATGTTGACCTTTACTGCAAAGGAAACCTCGCTGGGTGAGTTCAGAGCTAAACCAGCTCCTTCGCGTCGAATTCTGTTTTCGGCGAGAAGGGCAGCGGGTGTGGACTGCGGATGGAAAAGTAGTTCCTTCTTTGCACATTGTGCGGAGAGGATTTAGGATTATTTAGGCCTACCGGGTGCGAATTTTTTTTCGCGCTGGGGGCGGGATTACTGTATTTGTCGCCGTTGTTGAAGCCTTCAAATCACGTTGTTCCGCTCTTCACCAAACAAGCAAACCAGCCCCCTACAGAGTAAAATTTTTGGGGGGGTGGGTGCAACCTTTAGACTTACGCCACTTGAACAAGCAGACCCAGGCGAGACCCAGTCCCGGGGATCCGGACCTGTTTGTGCATGTAAATGAGCGAGTGACATTTATTTCATTTATTTAACAAGCAACCCCCTCATTCAACATCCCTTGCTAAATAGGTCAACCTTACTTAGAATGTTCCCGCGTCTGTTATCCAACCAAAGACTTTCTATAGTGTTCCTGGATTTCTGACAACTACTGCTTTTCCCCTTGACCTTAATCAATAGTTCCTGTGAACCAGATTGCATGTGAACCTGTTAGTTTCCTTGACCGACGTACCCGTAAAAAAGTTTTACATACTGTAGTTTTATTTGCGCAATTGTATCCCCCTGACAAAACTTCCTTTTATCTTTAATTATCTTTCCTACATGAAACAGTTGTTATGGACTTTCCCGAATGCTATGGGTACTGCTTTTTCGCTATTAGGCTTGATGCGCGATGCGAGAGCATATCTTTTTTGTTCAGTCCGAATCAAGGTGAATTCCACCATGCTGTCGTGTCCGGTTTGTTCCAGATCAGAGCTCGCTCTGGTTACTCCGTGTGAAGTGGGAAAATCGAATCACTGTTTTAAAAAGGATGGTTCGACGATGCACGCATTTACAGTTCATCTCACAGAAACAGTTCGTTGGGAGGCTTGCATAAAGCTAAGTTCATCTTGCACTCTTGTCGTATCGAAGACGTCACAAATTTGCATAACTGTGCAGCGTGGCAGAAGTCATCGGACGGGGTTCAACTATAAGGTGCGCTCCCATGGTCTCCTTTTTTACTGACGGAAAGGCGAGGCGAGACTAAACTTGGTGTCTTC